CTTGAACATAGAGCTACTCGACAATCAAGACAATGAACTTTGATTTGGAAAAAGTATGGGCGTCTAGGAAACTTCAGATTAGTGAACTCAAAGATTTGAGGAATGAGGCATGTGATAACGCTAAAATTGCAAAATCCATAATGAAAATCTTCAATGACAAGAACATTGTGATTAAGACATTTGAACCTTCTCAAAAAGTCTTTCTCTATAATTCTCATCTCCACCTTTTTCCTAGTAAGTTGAGGTCTAGGAGGACCGGTACGTATATTGTTAAGCAAGTCTTTTACCATGGACTATAAGATAAAAAAAACCCTAAGAATGACAATGTTTTTAAAGTTACCGGACAAAGGTTAAAGAAGTTCTTGGAGGCTTTTGTGGCGGAAGTGGAATCTAGGGAGCTGATAGATCCCCACTATGACTGAATACACATCTAAACCAACTTAATTGTATATAGTATTTGCATTCGTCTATGATTATAATTTGATATTTTTATGGAGTTTCAAGGTTCATTGTGAGCAGTGGGAGGTATATTTTTCTTCCCTTACATTTGTTATTCATCTCACAATGAGAACAATGTTAATTTAGGTTAAGGGGAGGAAATACTTATGTCAAAAATCTTTGTTAAAAAAAACAAAAAAAAAAAAATTTATTTTGATGCATTTTAATTTTAAATTTTTTTGGGATTTTAATTACGTTTATAAACAAGAATGTATATTTTAGTTTTCTTTAGTCAAGATGTTAAGTTATCAGAAAATAAACAAAAATGAAAAAAACAACAAGAAAAACAAAAAATAAATAAATAAAAATTTATCTTGGATTTGCGTTCGAATGCACTCACACAAGTCTCACGTTCAAACGAGCTTTGGTTATTACATCTCAGGAAAAACAAAAGTTCTGTTAGAGAGCAAGATACTGGGAGGAAGCTGCGTTCGAATGACACCCACATTTGAACAAGAATTCAAAAAATTGCACTAGCGTTCGAATGTCAACCCACGTTTGAATGAACAGTGTCGAGGTATGAAAATCAAAAACGAATTCTCCACTCCATTTTTCGGCCCCCAAGCTCTCCAAACTAAACCCTAGGCTTCAAAAATCATACCCAAACCCAAGAAACCCCTCACCCACCTAATTTTTCATCAAATCCATCAACCCAAGCCATTTTCTACCCAATTTCCCAACTTTTCACCGATTAAAATACCTATTTTGGCCCAGAAACCCCTCAAAACCGAAACCATGCCTCCAAGAGTCAAGATTGCAACAAAAAGTGTGGGTGCTATAAATCAAGAACCCAAATTCGTGGAGAAGGTTGTGGAAGAAGGAAGAGAAGGAAGGGTACCCATAACTCGTCAGTACACTTCCCAAGTTCTCTTAAGGCCAATAGGTATAAGAATTGTTTTAGGAATAAACTCATTGAATGTGAGTGTACCATGGTGTTGAGTGAGTTTTTCGAATTGGGGATTCTTGACAAGATGAGGGAAAAGGGTGGTTTTAATACATGAGAAACGGTGGGGAGGCCGTTAAACAAATGGTAAGGGAGTTCTATTCCAATGTCGATGTGAAGCTCAAATTCTAAACAAGCTGAGCTTAAACAATTTTTTAACCTCGTTTAAAAAAGTAAGCTCAACAATCTTAGGCTCAAGCTGGCAAAGCTTGACTCGATTAACACTCCTATTTGTGACTATGCCATTCTTGGGGATAGTGATTGTTGACAAGAAGGTTACGAGCAAAGACAATAGAGCTATCATTGTAGGGAGAGTAAAGAGCGTCCAATGCAAAGAAGCCTTTCATTCCCTCGTTTCGTTGTGGCACAAACCCCCCCTCCCCCGCACCATATGTGGAAAAGGTATCTTTAGTCCTAAGAAAAGAAAGAGGATGGATCAAAGAAAATAACATCAACATTGACATTGTATCGGTGAGAAACAAGGTCATAGTAGTGATAACCTTTTTTCAGTAAAAGAATATTCCAAAAAGACACTTGACCGAGTAGGGCAAAAATTCATTTTGACGCTAAACAAGAAGATGAATAAATGTAAAATAACCAAAAAAACAAGTAGTGAGACCAAATATAGGTGTAACTGGAGAGAACAATGAAAAAGGAGATTAGTCAGCTAAGATAGAGGAGGGCATCTGATTACTATGGCACACTGAAGTAAGAATAACATTAACCCAATATGGCTTTGGGACATGTATATTAAACACTAAAATATGAGTAATATCCAATAAATGACGTTTCTTACGTTTGAAAAACACCATTTTGTTGAGATGTATGTGGACCTATAATTTCGTGGATGATACCATGGTCAATTCAAAATTTCTGCATTAATGATTGGACATACTCAAAAGTATTGTCAGAGTGAAACACTTTAATCGGTTTATCAAACTATACCAAAATTTCATTTTTAATGCTAACAAATATCTTAAGCAATTTAGAACAATCATTCATAAGAAATAACCACACCATATGAGAGAGATCATCAACAAAGACCACAAAATTCTGAAAAGTAGAAATACTCTTTATTCTTGCAGGACTCCAATTGTCATAGTGAACAATATCAAAAGGACTAGACTGATGATTTCCAATACTACTTGAAAAGCGCTATGGTGATACTTGGCTAATTGACACACTTCATATTCTAACATAAAAGGACTCAAACTAGAACTAACTTGACGAAGCTTCTACAATAAAGGGTGACACAAACGAAAATTTCACTGGCGTGGAGAGATTGTGACATTAATTGTGGGTACTAACTCTTTGGTATCTAAATGATAACGCTCGTTGTGTTCATACCCCAAACCAATCAACTTTTTTGTCCGGAGGTCCTGAAAAATAAAAGAAGATGGAGAAAATGTCACTGCCTACTGCAAATATTTGGTCAATTGACTTGGATGATTAATTTAATGGAAAATGAGGGACAAATAAACTAGAGTTTAAAGACATGGACTTAGTGGGGTTGGAGATCACCAATCCCACACACTGATCGAATGGAACCATCAGCTAACACAATGCAAGAGTTAAAAGAATAGAAATTAAAAAATAAAGAGGATATACCAGACATATAAGCACCAGCTCCTAAATTAATAATCCAAGATAATGAAGCTGAAGGAGCTGCTACATTTGCAAAATTACTTGCGTTGGCCAAGTTGGAAGCTGAAGTAGACAATTGGGGAGAAAATAAGGATAATGGTTGGATAAGCTGATTGAACTAAATATTAAGGGTGTCATGAGAGCTAGATGTAGATCCAATAGAACTATCGGGAAGAGTCTGAGACATAGGTGGAGTTGGGTCATTAGGGGTCTGATTTCTAGAGGCCTTTCTCCCATACTTATTTTGACAATAGTCCTCAATTTGTCTAGTGGCCCCACAATAAGAATTTTTCCACTCGGATTGATTACCATGACCACCACGACCGGTGCCTCTACCACCTCGACTACTTCCTTAGGCTGGATGGCGACCACCACTATGTTTACCCCGTGGAATACGATGACTATTATCACTAGAGACTAAGGTAGAAGACTTTGTGAAGATGAAGGAGTCCCATGAGTAAGAGAAGCCCTCTAAAGGCGAGAATAGGCATTGGCAATGGGCGAAAGCATCCCCTTAGCCAAAATATAATCTTTAAATATACCATGCTCAAAGCTAAGGCTTGGCAACAACAATGCAGCCAGAAACTTTTCACGTTGTCGTCTCTAAAGTTTTAAATCTTCACTCAGTGGCTGGTACAACATATGTTCTTCCCACAATCCTTTTAAAATGCCATAGTGATTAGTTAGGGATTTATTGCCTAGCTTGATATAAACATAAGCTTAAAAAGTTCATAGATCTTGGACATATTATGTTTTTTTAAGTACATCTACTCAAGAGAGTCTCATATCTCCTTAATTGTATATCAAGAAGTTGATCATTAAAAGTGTACAGGCCTCTATACTATGTCACAACAAAGTCATCACTAAGGAATTCTCACTTCAACAGTTTTCAGAATTTTTGGATTCCTTAAGTGGAGGATTTTTAGTCAAATGCTTGACATTCTTTTTGTTACACAATAAAACTTTAATGGCTTGGGACCAAGAATAATCATTGCTCCCATTCAATTTTACAGAAGTAATCTGTCGAATCTGATCATCCATGGAATGAAATTATCTATTCGGAACACTCACGAAAGTATCCTATATTCCGAAGTCACCATAATGAAACCCACAACCAACTAGACAGTAATCCAGAGTAATAGAGCCAAGTGGTCTCAAAAAACCATAATAATAAAAAAAAATAACCAAAACAAAAGCCAAAAAGTGCCTAAAAAAACCCAAATCGCCGTTGATATTGCAGCTGCAAACCAGCACACAAGAAAGCCAATCACACTAGTAGAGTTTGAACATAACACTGGAGCCGAAAACAACTAAAAACAAACAATATCTGGACTGTTTGAAACCTGTTCAAACCAAAAGCAGGGAAGTCGGCACTCCTTAGGCACAAAAACCATGTCCAAAATCATCAAATACAACTGAGGAGCTCCTCCCAAGGCCTAATCGGAACCCGCAAAGGTAAATCCAAGCAACAAATCAAAAGAAATAGTCAAACCACCAAATCTAGAAATCAGACCCTATTTTTTCGAAAAAAATTAGAAATTAGAAAACTATAATTAGATGGCTTCAAAAAAATAAACAAAAATCACAATACTCCCCATGGAAAATCAGCTCCAAAGATTAGGCTCTGGTGGCCGGAAGTCAGCAATAGAGAGGGTCCCTGAGTTCGTCTACTATGTATTCCAACATTATCTAGTCTCTCATTAATGCTTTGAAACCAAGTTGAATAGTAAAAGTAGTATTAGGGTTACACAGAATGAGAGGGCGAGAGAAAGAGGTAAAGCGATAGAGAGAATTATCACTTGTGTAGGTTATTTTTCTCTACACCCTCTTAGTTATAATAGACTAATATTATGTATAATTACAAAATTGCCTTGCACTACTAGCAATATGAAATAAGAACTCTAAAACAAAACCTATGCGTTTTCTGTTTCCTGGTATCTATAGATTCACAAATAGGGAAATTTAATACTGAATAGTTCTATTAGCTTATAACTATCAGTATTGTACAGTTTTTAATTACTTGACAGTTGACTCACTTTGACATGCTTATGCTTGATTTGCTATCCAGCTTTTGTTTTTATATATGCCCTCCTTTTTATTTTTGAGGCGGCTTTGGTGCTCACATATTTTGGCTGTCTCCTATGAATGTGTTGGTTGTATGTAGCAATTTAGTTTGGCAAAGTTGAATTTTTTGAACTAATTTCTATTTGTAGTTGTTTACAGGAAAGACGTCAAAGGGCCAGTCTCAAAAAGTTCAACAGGCTGTTTTGGAGGTAATTCTTTCCGGCTTTACTTATGTTATTCCCTGACATTGGCTTAATTGAACTTTCCCTACAGAAATTCCGGGCTGGTGGCTACAATGTGATTGTTGCAACATCAATTGGTGAAGAAGGTTTAGATATCATGGAAGTTGACCTTGTCATATGTTTTGATGCTAATGTGTCACCTTTGAGAATGATTCAACGCATGGGGAGGACCGGAAGGAAACATGAAGGACGAGTTGATATCCTTCTGCTTTTTAGTATGCTTCTGTGGGGTAGATTGCCTTATCTAATTTATACAAGCATTTGCCAATTACTTCCTATATTTTGTTTTGCGCCTCAAATTTTCAAATAATTGAATTCTTGTTCTAAGCCTTGTATACTTATTTGAATATTTCTTTAACAAGATTTACTAGTTTTAGCTTGTGAAGGATCAGAGTTGAAGGGTTACAGGCGAAAGCAAGCTAACAGCAAGGCTATTAAGAAACATATGCGCAATGGTGGTATAAATAGCTTCAATTTCCATAGTAGCCCAAGGATGGTAAGCTTTGTCTGATGAGTTATTATTCAGTGGTTGTAGTTTCTCAATAGCTTTGCAGCTATTGCCTTCCTAACTCTATATATTTCCGTAATTACAGATTCCCCATATTTTCAAACCAGAAGTCCAATTTGTTGAGCTCTCAATCAAGCAATTCATTCCTCGTGGGAAAAAAGTGACTGATGAGCACCCTGTCCAGATACCTGTGTTTAAAACCAAGCTAACTGATGCCGAGACTGATTTAATAGCAAATTATTTCCACCCTACTAGAGAGAACACATGGAAACCATCACTTATTGCCTTCCCTCACTTCCAGGCATTCCCCTCCAGAGTGCACAGAGTAGTGCATTCACTTAGAACTGGGATGCTGATCGAAACAATGCAACGCCTGCAAGGGTTATCATTTCTGAGAGACAGCAAAGCTTTCTCGGTTCAGGTTCACTCTTTTTTTTTGTGCTAGACTTACCTTTTTTCTTGAATCATTATAACTTAAGAGTTGTATTCTGATAGTTCAGGAGGAAGCCGCTTCAGAATTATGTAGAAGAGTTGAACCTGTTGAGCATCCTGACAACGTTATGAAAGGTAACATCATTTTTCAACTGCTTAAAAGATTGGGGCGCAAAAATCCTAATATGAAGAAATGCTTTATATGATTCATGCACCGTAATGAACCGGTGAGGATTTTTTATGCTGTGGCATTAGAATGATTATTATAATGGAAAAATATTTAAATCAATCTTAATGTTTGTCTCTCTGTTCCCTTGCTTTCAAGTCCTGCATAAGCTATTCACACTTATTCAGCAGTTCATATTTTTTTCCTAAAAAAATTAAGGTAGCGATCTTCATGTCCAATGTTTGGAGTGGTAAACAGAATTGTTATTTATTGATTTCTTTGCATATGTTGATGATTTGCAATGCTGCTCAGATATTTTCTTGGTAATTACAATAGCCTCCCTAAGGTTTGTCTATATAAAGACTGAATCCCCTCACTTGCATTATCTTATGCTTTGTTTATTTGAACAGATTCTCCCAATTAGTACTGGCCACGTTCGTGAGGCATTGTGAGCGATCGGCATTCTTAAATACCCAAATTTCCCTAATGGTTCCCTCGTGCATTTGTAATGGACAAGAAACTAAACAAAACTTGGGGGAGCTAATTGTAATTTTGTACATGTGATTTAAAAATATAAATGAAGACAATCTAAACTTTCTTCCAAATGAACTATATCCATGTTCTAGACAACTTAACATGCCCGGAGGAACTCGAGCCTTCACCATCACGTCCATCCCATCCCTCATTGCTTTGCTCTTTTTGTCTCCCTTTGCAAGGTGCACCTCCATCACCTTCCACTCCCCAAAACTGCCACGAACCAATCTCTTCTATTTTCCTTCGCTTTATACAACACATGCAAAGAGTTATGATTGTTTGTTGGAAGGGAGGTGCTTTAGTGGGTCAAAGGATTGTGGTACAGTGTAGTCTCGTTGGAGCTTATAACAGTGGTGAATGTGGGTGTGGCAATGGAATTGTGATTTATGTAGAACTATGGTGCTTGAAAACTTGGATGCAACGATGTGGTGCCAAAGTTGGTGGTCGTGATTGTGGTGGTGGCAATGGTCCCTGCTAGAGGCAGTATGATCGATTTTAGAGAGAGAAAGAGTGAGAGACCGTCAAAAGACTGACGAGGATTGTCTTCTTCTTGAAAAGAACTTTGTTTGGTGATCGAGATTGGTATCATGTAGGTCCCCAAGGATGATTGTTGGTTGGTAACAAGGATGGACACCCCTATTTGTTTCTCTTTTTTTCTCTGCCTCTATATTTGCCTCCTTTTTGCTCCTTCTTTGTTTCTCTCTCGTTCTAGCAAGTTACAAAATGGTAAAGTTGGTAAAGTAATTGAGCATATTAGTATTAAGGGTACTTTTTAGTCGTTTATTTTATTTTGTGTTGCTCCAGGGTCTCTATTGTGTATCTTAGGTGTTGTTATGCATTACATGTGACGTAATAAAATCTTCTTTCTCTTCTCTTTTGGATCATTGTTAACATGGTATCATTTCTCATATCTTTTCTCTCCTTGATCATTATTAACATGGTATCAGGCCAGGTATGATAACAGTTAGAGTTTGGATTTTATATTGAAAAAATGATACATCTTTTAATCCCTAACGTTATGTTTGGTACATGGTATTAGACCTTAGCAATGGAATGATCATTCTTTAGTAATACTCATTCTTTTATTTAATTTATGGGGATAAAATTTTATTCCCATTCCCAAATAAAACATGGTATTGCCTATTTTTTTTAGAGAGGAGAAAAGGGAGGGAGATTTGAATCCTTGACCTCAAGAAGGTAAATCCTTCACCTCAAGAAGGTAAATCCTTCACAAAGTAAAGAATTATTATTAGATCAAAGGTCCATTGCCTCCCGGTAATCAGCATAAATTCAAGTCGATGAAAAACCCGATCGTCCCTATTCTTCTCTCTCTCTCTCAGCATTGCTCGTCGTTCTTCTGTTCTTTAGCCCTAATCCTTCTTCTCTCTTCTCATCTTCTCTCTTCTCCTCCCCTCTCCTCACCTCACCTCACCTCACTTCTGTGACTTTTCCTTCATCAGCGAGAAGCATGGCAAGCCATCTCCCCCTAGCCATTTTTTGCTTCTTTCTCATTTTTTTGTGATGCAAGGGGTTAGATTGATACCATACGAGATTTGACATTGTCATTAATCTCAGGTAAGTATTCACTTTAGTTTAGTCAACAATCTCAAATCCAATTTTAAAATTTTGTTTCTCTATTTACTATTTTGATTTACATGCCAACCAACTATATGATAACAGTACCCTTAGAAATGAGAAGAAAATTGAATGCATGATATTTTGACTAATACCTATAGAATTCAAATTATCTAAGACTTGGTGAAACAGTTTACAATGTAGACCATGTGTTTGTCAAAATGCTTAGGAAAAATAAAAGAGAAATTTGACTTCGTTTGGCTTTATGGGTGGTTATTGAGGTGGCCTCCTATTTGTTCTGATGTTGTTTGGAGTGGTGGAGATTTTTAGAGTGGCGAGGGGGTTTTGAGGTTGGGGCTGAGTGGTAGGGGAGGTGGTTTTCTGATCTAGTCATGAAGATTTAAGTTAAGAAGGTTGAATTTCTTAAATGTGCTCCTGAAGGAAAAGTTGACTAAAGATTAAGTGGGTTCTCAAGGAAGTTTATGAATTAAATTCTTATTTTTTGAAGGATACAAGATGCACAATTTCAAGTGTGTTGGTATGTAGCATGAGCAGGTCAAAGGAGCGAAGTAGAACTAGATAATAGTGTCTAATTGAAACTTATTAGCATAGGAAACTCTTAAAGGAGAAATTATGGTGGAGGGATTGAGAGTTTTTCCAAGATGGTAAAAGCACAAGATGACATTAAAAAAAGAAAAGAAAAAAAAATTGGTCTTTGAATGCCTTGGAAACAATTTTGTATTGAACACACTTGGTATAGACTTTTGGTTACTAGTATCATTGCTATCTAAATGCATAGTTATCTATCTCTCTCTCAATACATATGTGTGTGTATGTTATTTTTAGTCCTAGGTTGTAGTGTAATTGATCAGCACTGAAGTTTTAAAGCCTTGACATGGCCATGGTGCACCCGCTTGTTATGTGGTAAAATGGTTCAAAACATGCGGACCATGATATTCAATTAATTAGTTCAATTGATTTTCATATTTTTTTAAAATATTAGGAGATCTTTTGCGGGTAGTATATGTTGATTTTTTTAATCGTTTCAACTATAGTGCCAACCAGATCTATAGTAGGACGGCTATGGATCTCTTATTTTTTCGTATTTGCTTTGTTTGTCAGTTTGCGTTAGTAACATCAAGTCAAGTATAATCACAAGGTTTGGGTAAAAACAAGAGAAAATGGACTGCCGATGAGGATGCCAAATTGGTTGAGGCTCTTTTTGGAACTAGTTTACTCTGGAACCCATCGAGTAAATAATGGGTTTAAACCTAGATATTTAAATATTATCTAGCAATCGTTTTTAGAAAAGCTGTTGGGCAAGGGAATCATGGCCAAGCTGCATATAAAACCCGGAAAAATTTAAATTTTTATGAAAAATAGTTAAATGGTAATTGGTTATTGCGGTACGAGTTGAAAACTCAAAATTTTTTAAAACTCCGATGATAAAACGGATCTCACATTTGGATTCGTCTTGCGAAATCTAGTTATCCAGTCAATTTTCGTTTAATGTTGAGACAGTCAGATTTTTTGCATTTTACGATGCGATCGGGCGTCGCATGACCAAAATAAACGCGATAGAATTTTATTGTGAAATACGAAAAAAATTTAAAATTAGTTCAAATAAAATATATTTAACATAAAATGGGACGAAATTTAATTTATTTGGAATAAAATTGGATCAGAAAAAGACGGGACGTGTGGCGTGTTGTGGGCTAAGTATCCAAGGAGTATAAAGTTGGGGAGTAACCTCTTTAGGCGATACTCTATTGAGTGTGATTTATCCTTTATGAGAACAATATTTTAGGTGCGAAACAAGGGCTAGTGGACAGCTCTCAGTTGGGCCCTTGTTGATGAAGAAAGTCGAGTTGTGGTTTTAAATTACATTTTTGTAAAACAATCGTGTAATTGATTTTGAACTTGTAATGTTGTATAAAGGATTGTTCAATGAATTCATATGGATTATATTTTGTGTAAAATTAGATGTTATATGAGTTAGGTAAATGTTGTATGAGATTCGGTGAATTGAAATTAGAAAATGATTGAATTGGGAAAAAACTGGACCCTGGTACTAGTAGCATGTTGATTAGCTACCGATAGCACGATTCTAGTAGGCTCAGGTACTAGTAGTAAGTCTTGAGGTATAGGTAGCTCGCTGGCAGTGGGTAGCTATCAGTAGCTCTTCCAAAAATTTTAAAAATTTGAAATAACTTTGATAAGCCTTCGGGTCTTGAGCTTTTTTATTCAAAGGATGTAAATAAAGTAATATTGATCGCAAACTGATGGATATTGGACCTTGGAATGGTCGTATGATGACATGGTGTCGGGTTATACGGCATGCACGGGTATTTCCGTGGGTTGATGAGTGATCAACGGGTCAAGAAAGGACCCCAGAATTCTAGGGCACCACACTATATGTCGAGTCATAAATCAAGTTTTTAAAGAGCCCAGAGTCACTTATCTAAGATAAGAAAAGATATAGGTATCTAACAAAACATATTACGATTGAAAGGAAAGAGTAAGAAGTCGCTCTTAGGGAGAAAACTCCTTATCAAATCATGAGTTATCTTTTACTTAACCATGAAATGACTTTGCTAACTAATCTTATCCCATCTGAGAATGGAGAAGTTAGAGATTTATATTGACTTTTGCATTTTTCATGACATGCTGAACAATCTTCATCCAAGTGGATTTGGATTTGGTTTGTGGAACAATATACATGTAGTTAACAACTGGAGTTGGAGTTTTCATTTTTCATAACATGCCCATGTTCTGAACATATTTATTTAAATGGAGAATTTGTAGGAAGATGTATAGTGAATAAACTTATATATATTTATTTTTCTTTGGTCTATGGAACAATATACATGTAGGATTATGTGTGAAATTGAAATTTATGCATTCTTGTTTTTTATTTGTTATGTCTAATATTGATTTTACTTGTTTTTTTTTCTGATGAATTTGTTCATTATGTGAGCATTGTGAGTGTGTTGATTGTACATGTAATTTGATTTGTCAAGTTTTGGAATTAATAGGAATACTCATTGTAAGGGAGTATTTCAAATTAAGTTAGAAATTCTATTATAAAAAAATTTCATTCCATTCCAATAAAAATTATTTTATCCAAACATTGAAATGGAATGCACATTCCATTCCAAGACTTAATCCAAATTAACTGCCAAACATTGAAATGGTAATACACATTCCATTCCATTCCTAAGCCCATGTCCATTCCATTCCTTTTTAAAGACATTACTACGTACTAAACGTAGCGTAAGAGAACCACATTCTTGATTTGGTTGAAGGATTAAAAGCTTGCCAAACTAATTAGTGTCGAGAATTTGTGATTTCACTGTGTCTGTCTTTGTCTCCGGGGCCCTTGTCAACTCTTGCTTTCCAAATGCTCTTCTAATCTATTGGGCTATGTATCTTCTGGGTTCTGTTGCTTTGCTCTTGTGCTGATTCTTCCTTATTTGAATTGTTGGTTTGCACTATTGCTGTGGTTTAAGCTGATTTCTTATGGGCTGATTTCTTGTGGGCTGTTTAGACTGTGTCTTCTCTGGTTGATAATTGGCTAGATTTGTTTTGGGACTTATATTATACAATGAAGTTGCAATTTTCTAATTTGCACATTGTAAGTTGTGATTTCTTTTAATTGTCTTAACGTTCTTTCTCTATTTGAGGAGTAGAACCACAACTCATTTTTGTTTGGGTTTTGATTTGTTGGTGCTTTGGAGATATTTTTTTCTTTTCTCCTAGTTTGGGTGTGTCATGGTTTTTGGTCAAGTGATTTGATTATTGTTATCCGATTTCGTTTGGTACAATTATGACAAGGGAAAACCTCGACTCTCATCAGTCTATTAGTTTAAAATTAACCATGATTTTTGCTTTGTTGCAGAAATT